GTCCTTGTTTCCGGGGTCCAGAGTTCATTTAACAGAATGAACAATTAAGAAATAATGATAAAGGGACCACAAGACAATAGAGCGATCTGTACACAAGAAAAAGGCTGATGTGATGAGAATGATGCGGGAACTAGTTTAGATGACCTTCTCTCAGGCCTCTATAAGGAGGTGACATTTGTGTTGAGATTTGAGCATTAAGAATGAGCCAGGTTAAGGGCATTTCAGCAATTTGTCTCCAATGCAGGAATAAGATAAAGCATCTAGTTTGTGCCTCAGAAATAGAAATAGGAGAATGCTTTCAATAAAGCAGTGCTTTTGAGATATCTACTAACTGAATTCATTTGCAAATGCATGATACAAGACTTTTGCAAGGCTTTCTTAGGTCACACACATTCATAATTATTTCTGCCATTTTCTACACTAAAATTTTTTCATACTTAAAAATCTTCAAACACATTGAAAAGAAAGCCTTGGGAATAAAGTGGATAAAACATAATGTGAACTTAATTGATTATAAATACAGAATGACATTCATATTTCTAAACATTGCATTTTAGCTTCTCTATTTTCAAGCAATAGGCTTTATTTGTGTAAGTTTTGGAGAGTCTGAAGGTATGACTTACCTTCACTTTTATACACTCCTGAGTATCCAGGCTGTATTAGCAAAAATCACTGCTCTTAAGTATACATTAGAATCTGAAATTATGTGAAATACTTTCATAAAAATGAGCCTTCCAGATAATAAAGCATTTTAAGTTAAAAGTCTTATTACAAATATGATGGTTGTTGATTCAAAATTTTACAGACACGATCAGCAATTGTACATGGTGTGTGTATGTATATCAAACACATCATATATTTTTACCTTCTGTCACAGGATATATATATATATATGTGTGTGTGTATATATATATATATATATATATATCAAAGAATCCAACTCTCCATTTCTGAGTGTCCTAGTTTCACTGATCTGACATTTGTTGTATAAATCATTCAGTGTCTTCTATGTGCCAGGTACCTTCTGACACTAGAGGCACAACAGTGACCAAGATACACCTTTGCATAAGTTTGTGCCTCATCTTCCAACTGGAATGCAGCTTTTGGAAGGTGGAATAATGTATTTCACTATTTTCCTACTATGTCTCATGATCTGTCACTATGAGTTGAATATAGCCGGTACATAATACTCCAATGTAATAGGGAGCAAGATATATTCCCCATTGTTTTTATTGAACTTTTCTTCAGAAAACCTGTCTGGCCTGTTTAGATTCAAGATGTATTTGAAAAATGACTTCTGTGTTTCTGCGGATGCCTTTCCCTACTTTCCTATCTTGCTTATCCTGCTTCCTTGCTAATGAATTCTTAATTCAGTATAACATTAAATTTAGGCTTTTTGCCGAAACCGGTTTGGCTCAGTGGATAGAGCTTCGGCCTGCAGACTGAAAGGTCCCAGGTTCGATTCCGGTCAAGGGCATGTACTTGGGTTGCGGGCACATCCCTCGTGGGAGATGAGGAGACAGCTGATCGATGTTTCTCTCTCATCGATGTTTCTAACTCTCTATCTCTCTCCCTTCCTCTCTGTAAAAAATCAATAAAATATATTAAAAAAAAATTTAGGCTTTTGTGTGAGTCCAATGCCGGAAGAGCAAAGGCTGAAGAGCAAATAAACAATTGGAGAACATTGTTTTCACCTTTTTAAGGTGTTAAGTGTGCGAGCATTTCATGCTTCCACTTCTAGGATCTCTATTTTTATTAAGTAGCCTTGATTCTCATCCTGTTTTTCATTCTTAATTCTATTAAAGATCATTCACTCAGAACATATTTAATGAGTTCCTAGTATATACTGGTCACTAGAGAGACAAAGATATTAAGACACAGTCTCTGCACTCAAGAAGCTCATAGTTTTGTCCTCGCCAGTGTGGCTCAGTATGGTCATCGCATGCACCAAAGGTCATGGGTTTGATTCCTGGTGAGGGCACACAACCAGGTTGCAGGTTTGATCCCAGCTTGAGGTGCATGGGGGAGGCAACCAATCAATGTTTCTCTCTCACATTGATGTTCCTCTTTCTCACTCTGTCTCTCCCCTCCCCCCTTCCTCTCTCTCCCTAAAATCAAGGAAAGCATGTCCTTGGGTGAGGATTAAAAAAATAAATAAAAAGTAGAAGTGTAGTGACAGAGAAGGAGTGGTCAGGGAGAACTTAGGAAGAATGCTGTGCCCTGTAAGAGTGTTTAATGAAAAGAAGAAGGTAAGCTGAGCAGAAGGGGTTGAAGATAGAGAGGGTAGCATGAAGCAGGGCAAAGGGGCAATCAATAGCATTCCCCTCTACCCCCTCCCCCAAATTATCAACAATTCTCAGCTGATGAAGCAAGAATGTAAAGAAATGAAGATAGAGTCAGGCCATGGAGCACCTTATGTGGCATGTCAAGAAGTTGGACTTTTTCTTGCAGGGGATAGAAGGTCATGATCAGGTTCTAAGAACAGAGTAACATCGTTAAACTTGAGTTTTATATCCGTCTATAGTAGCCTTACTTTTTTCCGCTGAGATGAAAGGGAGGGAGAAAAGTTGAGAGTGCACTTCAGCAATTGAAGTAAAAGATGCTGAGACCCTGAACTATGACATTTGAAAATACAAGGAAAACAATTCATCATCACTTAATGATGGAACAGTTGCAGCAAATGAGGAAATGGGAGTTATGCCTGTGGGTGGCATTATGAGGGAAAATGAAAGTGGAATATTTTCTACTGATGATCAGAGTAAATGAAAGTATGGCAAGAGCAGGTAGGTAGTAAAACACACGATTAGGAACATTTTCTTGTTATCCTGATTTTACATTATGTTGAGAATTTTTAGTACAGAGGAATGCTTTGCATTTAAGCATTCAAGTTCCTAGGGTCCATTTTTATGATCACTTTTTCTATTGTCTTTCTGTATTCCTTCCATAACATTTAATTCTGGAATCCTTACTTGTCCCTGCTCATTTAAAATAAATTCTTAGTTTTATTGTAGCCTCCTGTGTTTTGATCTATCCTCATCCCTGATACTATCGCTGGGATTACCTGTGTCTCCCTGCTATGGCCTGACCCACCCTCCTTGGAATCTCTCCAGGCCTCAGGGAACCAAACCTGCTTCCAATGTCCTAAGATTCTGTCCCTCAGTGAAGGGGATTTGGATTTAATACAGATTCTGAAATCCAACCAAGAGAGAAAGCTAAGCATATAGAGAGATTTAAAAACAAACAAACAAACAAATAATATCTTACTTTTTAAATATAAAGAGAATTGAATTTTGTTTCCCAATGCAAAAAGATTTACTTATTCCTATTTGATTGAGGACTTTATTGAGAATACAAGCTAATCATTAGCATAGCAGATATCCTGCATAGAAGGGCTCGGATGGGAGCTTAAGGGGCTTTATGTGATTTGATTTGTAACGGAAAGACAAAGTTTCAGAGCAGAGAAATGAGCAGCTTGTAACCATAAAGGAAGATTAATCTGGCATTGGTGAAATTTTCAGTGGTAGAGAAAACAGACTAAAGGATGGAAGGCAACTAGTTATGGTGCAGCTACTCCCTGTGAGAAGAACACAGTTAGGGTGATGGTATTAGGAAAGAAGACAAGGGTCTGGGCATAAGATGTCTTACCACAGTTAATTGATTAGCATTTGGTGATTGACTGAATGTGAAGAGCGGGGAAAAAATTCAAAAAAGGGACCAACGTTTTATATTTCACATGAACGTAAGAAAATGACTGAAACATTTATGGAGATTTCAAAAGATAAATATTTCAGCATTGAATGATTACATTACTTTATGAAATAGCTTATCATACGTATGAGGCTGGGTGATATCATGTTGCTTTTGAGAAACTGGAGTTTATGGCAAGAACTTGGAGCTCAAATTTACAGAATGGAAGTGTGAGGTCCAATAAATAGAAGAGAGCAAATTCAGAAAGGCAGAATGTCAAGTCAAAGGCTCAGTAATGGTTCAGTGCTTAAGTTGCCCACCCCCCCAAACAAAACAAAACAAAACCTCAGATGTGTATTTTGTTAACAGTTTAAATGTTCCCAACAAGGGCTCAAAAGCAAAGGCCTTGATCATTAACAGGTCATTGATAACTTTCAAGGGAACAGTTTTGGTAAAGATGTGATCAAATCACAATGCAAGGATTATATTGGGAATCTTTTGACAAGGTTGGTAGTAAAAGAAAGAAAAAAGAGCAAAGCATTGTTAAGAAATACGAACATGAAAGAGAATGTTCTTTCGGTCCAGGGGTGACCTGAACATTCTAGTAGGCAGAGGGGAGATTTCTGGGGAAGGATGGAAAGAAGACCCAAAGCAAAGTATTGTAATGAGGTTATAAGAAATTACTTGCAACAGGTGAGGTGAGTCTGTGAGTGAATCTAGGGGATGAACAGGGAAAATAAACATGGAAAAAGAGTGGAAATCAGAAAAATAAAGAAACAATATGTAATAATGATAAGAGGGTGGAAGATTGGGAAGATATGGACAATCAGGACACATGAAGGAACTTCCATAACTGGGGATACAGAAATAAACAGTTCTGAGAATCATAATTAAAACAATTTCCAGTATTTATTTTAAATATATTTTTATTGATTTCAGAGAAGAAGAAGAGGAAGAGAGAGATAGAAACTTCAATGAAGAGAATCATTAATCGGCTGCCTTCTACATGCCCCACAGTGGGGATTGAGTCGGAAACCTGGGCATGTACCCTGACCAGGAATCGAACCATGATTTTCTGGTTCATAGGTTGACATTCAACCTCTGAGCCACACCGCTTGGGCAATTTCCAGTATTTATTTTTTTAACAATGAAAAACATGTGTATGGAAAAACATAATAAAGAATAAGGGCAAAAAATGATGTCTTATCATTTAATTCCAATATTTCTTTTGAGCCATGTGAAAGCATGGACCTCAGGATTTCCCGTGAACAAAGAAAGCAATGACCACGGAAGTCCAGGACTAGAAACCTTACCTCTCTCAGAGGATCGTTCAGTTCATTGAGAATATTTTCCTCATCAAAGATCTTGCCTTGGTATCTGTGTTCATAGTAATCATGAATCTTCTGACGCATATCAGCTGGCAACTTATGGAATGACATGTATTGTTCCACTTGCTTATACTGTAAGGAAAGGAAAAAAGAAAATGAAAAACCATTGTTAGGCTGAATGAGAAATCGTCATGTTACTTTGCTATATTCAATAACACCTGGATAACAATAACAAAAAGAAGTAATTCTTTAAGGGCAAGGAACTCATGTACTAGGTTTTAATGTCACTATTCTGTGTCACATATTGTAGAAGGTATTTATTTAGGTAAATCTTTCCTCTAATAACCTGAGATGTTATGGAGAGAAGGCACAAAAGGATTTCAGAGTGAGTTTAAGGTTGTGGTCCCAGAAAAACCAATAATGGGGTAAAAATAAAATTTTTACAGACACACACACACACACACATATTCTTTTTTAAAATTTCATTTTTAGCTGAGTTCCAAAAGAAGTATGAAGTTGCTCTTTGGGTCTTAATTTGGAGAAAAGAAATCTGGTAACTTTGGACAATACAAAAAGTTTTATCTGAGATCTTACAGGGAAAGAGCAGACCTAATTCAATTTTGAACATCTAGGCAGGGAACTTGGCAGCTGTTTGCAAGTCAAGAAGCAGATGCCTTGCAAAGTAAGAGAATGTGTCCTGCTTCAATTTAGGACCCAGGAGAACATGAGGGTGAGACTAGATCCACCTAATTTCATAGGAAGTTAACTCAGACAGTTAAGTTCATTTCACCAAGAAGTTCTTCAACTTGGGTATTTATAAACTGAGGTGGGGTTGTGGTTCTTTGGGAATGCAGATTTCCAGGCCTAACTCTGAGATGATTCCCTTGGTGTACAGGCCCCTGTGAATTTACAGACATGCTCACATACACACACAGAGTCACTATTTTTTTTAAACATCCCTGCTAGTTAACAGGACATGGTAGCACCAATGTTGCATGGGAGCTAATTAGAAGGGAATTTCAGGCTTCACCCCAGATCTATGAAATCAGCATCGACATCTTAAAAGGATCCCAGATGACTCATCACTTTTACATTTGAAAAATGCCTTTAATGTTTCCAAAACAGGTAGTTGTAGGGTGCAGCAATAGGGTTAAGCCGACTGACCTGCTGGCAAAGCCACAAATAAGTCCCAGCTTAGAAGGCACAGTCCTCTTAGCATAATTAGGCTTGACCTTATGACACTCCCTACATCTTATCTGGGTAGCTAATGGGCTAAGGGAGATGTAGCAAGTATTGCCAAAACAAGTGAAACTCACAAGAACATTGTAACTATGGTGACCACTACCTTGTTTACCTCTGGCTATAAAATAAAGGCTCAGCTTGCCTCTGGATCTCTCTCTGTGGCCTCACAGGAAGATCCACCTTGACCCAGCTTATTCTCTTTGTCATTTCTCCATCCTTCACCGCCCTCACTCAGGCTTGTGGAACCCTTGGCTGAGCTGGCTCGGCACAGTAGTTATGATGCCATACTTTGAAAAAGTGAGTTAAAACTCTCAAAATTAGTTTCATTGTACAGAAATAAAATTGACAATAAAAATAAAATAGTAAGTAATAAAATCAGATAAAGATACTGGAATACGATTCTTCCTTTAAACAAAACACATTTGATGCATTACCATGGGAAGCTTTTTCTCAGATCTTTCAGATAGCAGAGTTCTGTCTATAAAATCTAGGTCTTTTGCCTCCTTGTCTGCACTTCATGTGACTATAATTGTAATTGATAACAGACACAGCTAATGAATAACAGCAATTGAATTTCTTCAATTTTCCCACATACTTTCCTTACCTATAAAGCTCATTGTTTGGATGTTCCCTTTGAGAGCTTAGTATCCTCTAAATTTACAATTTTGTCATGAGAATTCCTTTATTTGGTCACCAGATTATCCCCTTGAAGTATTAAAGCCCCCAAATGAATATATATGAAGCAACTAGATTATGGTTTAAGCATTTTGAATTTTAGGCACTGATGCTGTCACAGCCATTGTGTGTAAATGGCTTCTAGTATGTACTTGAGAACTACAGGGTTAATATTTCCCGAAGAGCTCACAATCCATATGCCTGCCTAACCTCAGATGCTTCCTAGCTCATTTCTGGAAACCTGGATTCAGTCTGCTGGGCCCTCACCAGCTGGTCCATAAGAAAGCAACTCCCATGGCCTTCTCTACCAACCGCTCTGGAGGGTGAAGCTGATTTGCAGCTGGTCTGGAAATGCTCTATCTTTATTTCCGGAGACATTTCTGTGCTTACTTTTTAATCTTAGACAAAAAGAGGGCAGTGGAATATGTGATGGACTTTTCAGGGTCTAAAATGCCACTGGAGACCCCCCATGGTAAACTTCTGCTCTAATGACTTACAACTAATCTACTTGATTTTGATACCATTGTAATTAACCTAGTTATTAATAACAGGAAAGGAGCAAAGGGAAGGCCAAATATTATAGACATATCATTTGGGCAGTTTCACCAGGAAGCTAAAGCTTTACTTTCCGCAGGGAGCCACCGGTCTATTCCCTGCAGATTGCTGGGGGAAGGGACTGCAGAGGGAGGAGAACAGACACATGCCCAGTAGAGTTGGGGTGGCATTGGGAAGGTATTTGCTTGTCAGTCACACCTGGGAACAGGTCATTGGCCAGAATGGGTGTGACCATGCCAGGGCATGAAATTTGGGATATTTAATCCCTCACACATTGGAATTTGTGAACTTGGCGTGTAACACATGACTCCTGCCTTGTGGGGCTCTATCACTCCTCTTCCTGACACTGGCCTACATGATCCATGATGCTGAACTGGACCCGGCTGCAACATGGAATGGAAACTCTGGACACTGGCTTTGCTTTTAGCTCTACTGAACCCCCAGCTACACTTCTATGACTGGAATGGCACTTTGGAAACCCAGGGGTGTAATTCCACAAATAAAAAACACTCATCCTCCCATGCAAGTCTCAGAAAATTCTTTTCCTCAAGATATCATAAGGACCCCACACTCAGCACCCAGTGGGGAAGAGGGCACCCAATTTCCCTGATAACAGTTTAACTACCCTGGCTCAACTAGATCAAACGCTATGGGGAGCTTTGTGGGTGAGCTCTCCCCACACCAAGGCTCCCTGCACAGATCCTGATGGAAGAAACCAGAGACAGCTCACCCCAGGTGTTCCCCAAGGGGAGCTCACCCTGGGAAAGGCGCTGGCTTCTGATGCTTATTTGTGTCTCTTCCTCTGTGGTGTCGTCCCTTTGCCTTTAAACAAAAGCCTCTATGAGCAAGTCTGGCATCTGATGCGTCCTGTCAAACACCCGGACTTGGGAAAATAAAACAGCTTCAGACAATAGGACGACTACAGCTTGGACACTGACTACAGTGATGAAAGTCCTTTCCGTTCTGGCCAAATAAAGGATTCGCTACCAGCTGGTGTCCAGCAGTCTCTGCTTACCCTTCTCAACAAGCTTCCTGCCCAAACACTGCTTGGAGTGGTGAGAATGTTCAACCGTAGAACATTGAGCTCTAGATTTCTTAATTCTTTGTAAGCATCTTAGGGGTATAAGACGCAGTGTTAACCGTGTGGTATTCATTTGGAGGAAATCTGTGTCTATGTGCAAAGGCCTAGTCATCTAGAGGAAAAATTAGCTGCTCCATGTCTGTCTCTGGAATTAGAAAACGAATCCTTGATTAGCTGCATACAAATATCACATGTGAAACTATTTTATTTTTAAGGCAAGTCGGTGTTGGTTGAAATCCAGTTCTTTTTCCTTACAAAATTCATTTCATCCCTTTAGGGTTCAGTGTCCTAATCTGCAGCAAAAGGGTGTTAGGCCAAATGATGTACCTTATTCCTTCAGAACAAAATTTCTATAGGTATTTCTTGTCATTTATCCATACTGAGCCAAGTTTGAATTCTGAGCCTATATTATGCATTTTAACCATTCACTGACATGGGAATTATTGATCTAACAAATGTTAATTGATTGCTGTGTGCTAATGGTTCTCAAGGGGCAGTTGTCAAATACCAGTACCGCCTGAGACATTAGAAAGGCACATTTGTATTCTCCACCCGGACCTACTGAATTAGAATTGCAAACTCTAAGCTGTGTGTGTTTTAACAGACTCTCAATTCACTAAAATATCAGAACCACTTTGATATGCCAAGTACTGTGATAACTTAGGACATAAGGAAGCGCTCTGAGTGAGAGTCAGGAAAGAAAAGAAATTCAGTTTTGACAAGTTAAGGTTAAGATGCCCACAGCCCATCCTAATGCATATCTATAGGTCAGGTACTCAGGACAGAAAATACACATAGTTGATGACTCAGGGGTCACTAAGGAAGGAGGGGCCATCAAGGAGAGAAAAGACAAAAAGTAGAACCTACATTTTAAAAGCAGTGGAGTCATGGAGATTGATCAAGGTAAGGGAACTGACATTTGCCAGCAAGATGTGCGAGCAGAACCCAATAAAAATGATTAGCACAGCGGTTCTCAACCTGTGGGTCGCGACCCCTTTTGGGGTCGAACGACCCTTTCACAGGGGTCGCCTAAGACCATCGGAAAACACATATATAATTACATATTGTTTTTGTGATTAATCACTATGCTTTAATTATGTTCAATTTGTAACAATGAAAATACATCCTGCATATCAGATATTTACATTATGATTCATAACAGTAGCAATATTACAGTTATGAAGTAGCAACGAAAATAAGTTTATGGTTGGGGGTCAACATGAGGAACTGTATTAAAGGGTTGCAGCATTAGGAAGGTTGAGAACCACTGGATTAGCAGAACCCAAAGAAGGACAAAGTATTGAGAGGAATGCTCAAAAGGAATATGCCCTAAGAAAAGGGGTATTGGACATTGCCCAGTGAATTTGGAAATGAGGTAGTAATCCTCCTTAGAACTAACAGAATAGTCTTTTGATACCCAAATATCATTGTATACACTGAAGATAACTGGAAGATAGGAATCACAAGTTATACTTTTCATTTTATTGCAAGAACAAATGACATAATAATAAAAATTAGTAAGTTAAGTCAAATGGAGCTCTTAGTTTATGACTCTAACTCTAGTCTTCAAATCTAAAAA